GCTGGACGGCAGCTTTTGCACCTTCCAGTCGTCAATGCACGCGGCCTCGGCGAGCTTCGGGCGCTTGGTGACGATGCGCATCAAGGCTTCCGTGACCTTGAGCTGCTCTTCGACGGCAAGCTTGAGCTTGGCGTTCTCGGCCTCGGCGAGCGACCGCGCCTGCGCCTGGCGCCGCGAGATGGCTTCCCATGGCGACGAGTTCTGCGACTCGACGGCCTTGAGCTGCTGTAGCGCGGTCAGCTGCGAAGAGTACTCATCCATCTTCTCGCGCAGGTACTTGAGCTCGTCGGTCTGGCGCTTGCGCACACGCGGGCGCGTCGCCGGCGCCGCTTCCGCCGAGTGGTCGCTGCTGGCTTCGTCCGAGGCCGGAGAGGCCTTGTCCGTCAAGGCCATGATGTCGTCCAGCATCGCATCTTCGTCCAGCGTCGTCGCGTACGCGCCGGCCAGTGGCTCGACGTCATAGACGAGCGCGTCGAGCGAGTTCATCGTTTCTTTCCGTGCGAATTAGGGGACCCTCAGTAGCCGTTTTTGTAGGGGGCCGGTCGAAAACGATGAGCCTTGCATAGGCTAGAAGCTGTTAATTTTCTAGTTGTGGTCTGTTAATGACCTCGAGGGCCGGCCCACCAGCGGTGCGCTCAGTTCTACGTACCGGTACGTGTACTCTTTGAGCTACGTAGTAGTAGAAATACAAGGGACACCACCTGTGGGCAATACGGTGGTGCTACATTCTAATCCCCTGCGATGCTGGTACCAGGGACGGTGAGTGAGTGCCGTTTGAATCGCGTTTTCTACTCATGAGTAGATGCACTCATAGTGAATCGCTATTCACTCGGGCACTCAGTTGAGTGCATAGATATGAGTACCGGTAGGTTGAGTACCCCACTTCGAACCCCGGCCAAGGCATGGTATTTTAGACGCATTTAATATTCGGAATTAAATGCACGACATCGAGGACCGCATGATGCGGCATAGACACAACAGTTAAGAGGTACTAGTATGAATGGATCCTTGCCAAATTCTCTACAGAGTGCGCTGGACGGCAATCGTCGGACGTACGTAAGGCTAATCATGCTGATTTGCGCGATCCCGTGGCTCGACAGCAACGATCACGGCAATGACGTCGAGCGCGGGCGCAACCTCTTCCACAGAGCGGTCTTGGAGGAGGCCGATCGTATGTATGTCGACAGCTCCACGACGTGCAACGAGGGGTTCGAGCGGCGTTGTCATCGGCACATGCATGTGTACGCAGCTGGGCTTCCACCGCATCTCGCAGAGTTCGCAGTCCAAAAGTACAAATCTGACCGATCCATTCCATCGGAGAATCTCTTGGAACGCATGGCGGTCGAATTTGCAGCTAAAAATGTTAGAAATCAATACATGGATATTTGCTCTTCTACTCTCCTTTGTGAGTCTTTTCAGCCCCCTGCAGCGTCAAAACGATTCTGGAGAGGGTTTTACGTAATATTGTACAAATTCCGACCAAATTTGTGTACTTTGGCTACCCATTGTCGCGGGCCACGATTCAAAACAAGCGCCAAGGAGAGAGAAGATTCGTGGACTCTCTCCGCAACTCGGCGTTGGTGATCCGACTTGCAATGTACTCTTCGACAGGTTAGCTAAAATGGATGGGCAATAGACCTCACGCCGCGCTGGTTGCCATGTCGAAGCGACGCGCGAGGATGCGCAGCTTCTCGGCGTCGTCCAGCAGCTCCTCACCACACTCGGGATCGGCACATGTCGCCGCCGTCATCGCGTTGGTCATTTCACAAATGTCGCAGTCGATGCAAAGGTTGATCGAGAAACCCTTGGCGTTGGCCACCTTGGCGCGCTTGAGCAAGAGCGTGAGCTTGGCCAACACGTTCGGCATGGCCTCGTTGCATCTGCTGCAGTGTTCGTTCAAAGCGTCATTGCGGGTCTTGCATGCTGGGCACTGCAGACGTCTGGTGAGAGTCCCCGACGACCAGGACGACGACGTCGACTAGATCAAAAGGGTAACAAGGCAAGTACTCTCAATACAAAATCAATGCATCTTACCGACGTGGGCGAGCTGCTGCTCTTCGTCAGTTGCGGCAGCGTCACCAAACGCTCGGTCTTGGTCTCGGGCTCGGCGACCGGCTCTCGATCAGCAAGAGCCTTTTCCTGCAGCAACAAACGGTCGATGATCGTCTGCGCCATCGGTCGTTGCTTTGGATCGAACGACAAACAGTCGTCAACCAGCGCCTTGTACCACGGCGCACAGCCAGCGCTCACCGACGGACGCAGCTCGCCGCTGCGGACGCCGTCGACGATCGCAAAGAGGTTCATGCCTGCATACGGCACCTGCAGCGTCTCGAGCTCGGTCAAAATGACGCCAAACGAGTAAATGTCGGCCGCATAGTCGTACGTGGTTCCCGATGCAAAGACTTCTGGTGCGATCCACGCCGGCGTCCCCACGAACGTCGTCATGTCGAGGTTGAACTCCTTCGTAAGGCCAAAGTCGGCCACCTTGATATAGTTCGAGGAGCTTAGAAGCACATTGAGGCTCTTGAGGTCGCGGTGCATAAAGCCATTCCGGTGGAGATCGGCCAAAGCGTTGGCAATAACCCACGCAATATCAATGGTCGAGTAGTCGAACAGAACGGGCTCGCCCTTGCGCTTCTTGTCGAGGTACTGGCGGAGGTTGCCGCCGTCCATGTACTCGAGCACGAGTTTGGGGTTGTCACTGTGCTGATTCGAGACCGCTTTCAGCTGCAGCAAGTACGGCGAGTTGCACCTACAATGCAAAATTGAGTTTTGAGATTCAAAGAGATAAAGAAGCAGCATACGTTTGCATGACGTTGATTTCTGAGTGAAGCTCCACCGCGCCGGCCGCGTATTTAGCCGACTTGACTGCGACGCACTCGTTCTTGTACATGCCTTTGTGCACAAAACCAAAGCCGCCGTCGCCAAGGAGACTCCGGTAGTTGACTTGGATCGCCGTCTCTGGCACCTAGGATCGTTTCAGTGCACGGCCTCATCATGAAGTGTTACATCGTCGGCGATTTGATGAGTGGCGTTGTAAATTTGGTGCGGGAACCGGCGATTACGCAGCTTAATCGCGAGCACCAGAGGCGTCTCGCCATCCTGAACACGCATGGGGAAGCATAGGCGCAAGCCGAAGTGTCATACCTTGTTGCAGGCGACCAATGACGCGTCGGAGCGGCTTAAGAGCATCTGGAGCAACGGCGTGTGGCCATGGCGCACCGCAATGTGCAGCAGGCCATCGCCATCCTACGAGCTTGGATGTGAGTGTGTGGACGTCAAACTCAATCTGAACACCTCGTTCGTGACGCGAGCATCAACACCTTGATCCAAAAGTGCTTTGGTGGCAGCAACATGGCCCGCGACCACTGCTTGCAAAAGCTCCATCTTCTTCTTCTCATTGGCAGATGCTTGGGCTGGAGTTGGTTGAGCCTATGAAAAGAGCATTAAACTTCATGAAAGAAAGACATGGCGCGTACACCCAGGTTGGTGCTGGTGTACTCTTGCAGAAGACGGACTATAGTCGCGTACTTACGCTGCGTGGCCATCGAGAGCGCCGTGTTGCCGTCCTAATCAGCTAAATCTCGGCGGTGGGAAAACTCCGTCTCGTACAGCATCGGTGGCTTGGAGGTTGGGGTGGTGACGCAGCAAGGCGCGAGTCACATCGTCGTGGCCAAACTGAGCGGCCAGCAGAAGCGGCGTTGCACCCGCCTACTAGGAAATGAAGGACGTCGACACAGAGATTCGATCCTGTACCAAGATGTACTGGCCTTCGTAACTGAAGCCGACTTGAAGACTCTGGTTCGCGTCCGCGCCAGCGTCAAGAAGTTGTTGCACAATAACGAGATGACCGCGTCGTGCCGCGATCAAAAGTGGGGTGTCGCCGTCCTATACCACAACATGTTGATCCAAAGACAGAATTGGAAACCTCTATCGGTGCAGCGTACGCTCATCGCTTGATCCACAGCTGCGTTGGCGCCGAGAAGCATCTTGACGACGATGTCATGTCCTTTCTCTGCAGCAATCGTTAGCGGCGTCCATCCATCCTACATCATCAACAACATGTGAGGCCACGTGTTTGAGAGCGCAACGAGCAAAAGGAGAGAGCGCCGTACGTTTCTCGCTTGATCCACAGCTGCGTTGGCGCCGACGAGCATCTTGACGACGATGTCGTGTCCGTGGAATGCAGCAATATACAGTGGCGTCACTCCATCCTGCATCATCAACAACATGTAAATATGGTTGAGATCGCAACGAGCAAAAGGAGAGAACGCCGT